CTGTACTAGCCACTGTGTTAGCCTCTATACTAGCCACTGTGTTAGCCAAAAAAAAATATTTTCAGTTCAATGCATTTCAAAGCTAAACACTCCTTTCTTAACTTTAAATTCTGTTTAATTCATTATGTTAAAAAAATATAAAAACATCACAAAAATTTTCCGTCACGCTTTATCCCAGCTGGGGTGATCTGGGGTACTGGTGTCTATCTCCATCAGTCTGTGGGTGAAAGGCGGGGTCCATCCTGGACAGAGAGGCGGGGTCCATCGTGGACAGGTCTCCAGTCCATCGCAGGGCAACACAGAGACAAACAGGACAAACAGCCATTCACACCTAAGGAGGATTTAGAGAAGCCATTGAACCCAACAGTCATGTTTTTGGACTGTGGGAGGAAGCCGGAGTACCTAGAGAGAACCCAGGCATGCTCAGGGAGAACATGCATACTCCATGCAGAAAGACCCCGGGCCGGGAATCAAACCCAAAACCATCACGCTGCAAGGCAGCAGCATAACCCCCTTTTCCTCTGAGCAGCCCAAAGTGAGAAAGATGTTAAATGTTTAGAAATTACTGTGAATATCATTTAATACTCTCCAGCTCAGAGTAAATAAACTACAACCATTTTAATGAATATATAATAAAAATAAACTCAAACACAGCAAGGATACAACAGTGAAAATGTGGTTTTATCTTTAATAAAGTTCCTTCATCTGTTTGTCATTTTTCATCTCTCACACAAACAGAACCAAGATTATTCCTGCAACAAACACCAGAGTTACTTTAGAAGAACATATCAGGAAGCTTTTGTTTTTCATTCATTTTTAAATTTAATTTATACTTTAGTTAAACATGCATCTATAGGCTTTGGAGACTTTGGAGTAACAGCAGTCTGGAGGTAAGTCAATTTAATGCTTTACCCATGAACTCAATTTGAAAGCGGATCTTGAAAACATGAGTCCATTTTTGCAGTTCCGGGTCAAATCTTAACTTTGCTCTTTATATATTATTAATTCAGTTAAACTTGTTATTTAATCGTGGTATTCCCACCCCCACCCCCCCACTGGAGGCATCATCTGAACTTTATGCAGCATCAACAGTGACAGGAAACGATAATGTAGCTGCACAGATATGAGCTGCCAACTGATTCTTTACGGTTCCTTTCTGACGGTTCTGGATCTATACCTTTAGTACATGTGTGATTATCTAGTAATGCATAGGGTGATAGTAAGGAGAAAAAAAGAGCAGCCCAGAAAAAAGTGTGTGGGAATGTGGAGAGGCTACACAATGAAATCATCCCATAAATATGCAAGGACATTTTGCTCCAAACACTTGATATTTATTATAATGCATTCACACCGAAGTGTCAAAAATGTGCAAACCCAGAAATGTGGATTCTGGATCAGACTGTGGTCCAGCTGCTTTGCTGCTCGGCGCTCTGGTTCTTAATCTGCTCTGTTCTGTAGCTTCCAGCTAGAGAGCAGCTCAGCTTTATTTACTTTATGTGTTGGAAAAATAGTTTGAACAGGTTTTTAAGTGAGAAAGTCCACCTCCAGACATCCTCTGATCCAGGGGCACCTCCAGGAATTTTGGGCCCCATGAAGGTCATTGATTTTGGGCCCATACAAAAAAAAAAAACTTTTAAACTGCTATAAAGATGCATTGATTTTTTTCATGATCACTATGTAAAATGACACGCACGTGGCACTTAAGCCACGGTTCGAGCAAACCGCCGGTGACAGACAGGAGACCTGATGCGATGCAGGACATGGTTTTGGTAAATATATTCATGCTTTTTT